CCCTCTCAAGCTAAATACAACATTACAGATTGGTACTTCTAGCACACATAGTGACATCATTCGTCTTTAATTTGATGCATTCAATTTTCTCTGGGAGTGAACGTGAACACACCACTGAATAGATTCTTTATCTTGGTACACTTTCAGTCATTTTTGATGTAGGGTAAAACAGGGAAAACGTTTGTCTAAATTTTTCAAAAGTACACCGATTCTGGAACTGAAACTACGCACTTACTTGGCTAGTTTTTAAATATGTAAAAATCTCTACGGGCCGGCCTCTACTTTTCATAATAGCAATTCGCATGCGAAGCTCAAAACTCAGATATTGCATAAATTGGCAATGTTTACATCTAATGTTCTCAACAACAAGAATTTCAGACAAATGAAAAGTGCACGACTTTGAAACAATGTTATCTTATAAGCAATATCCTGAAGAGAAATCTCACCACTAGCTTTAATATTTAAAAAAAAATTGATCTACCTTAATGGCATCCTCGGAGACCTAGGGGCAGTGGGTCGATTTCAAGTTAGGGCATGAATAGCCTCTTCATGCCCTAATTTGAAATCGACCTACTGCCCCTGGGTCTCCGAGGATGCCTTCATGGAGGACTGCCCGACGTAGCCACAAACAAGTAGCTTAAATCGTATGCATATCATCCAGATTCCGAGTACTGTACCTTCTTTCATGGGAATTTGAGCAATCTGAAATCCTCTGACGATACACCGTTATAATCGTCTGTCGTCATGTTGAAACGTATTAAAGTTGGCTGATCCATACCAAACTATCTTAACAACGGTCATTTGTCAGCCGAACGTGTACGTTATATAACGTTATCGCAATGGCGTGACCCTGGATTTCACCGGACCATGAGGTTTCCACCAGGTCCCTCCAAAGAAGACGAGAAATGGACATTTTTCGATATTTCAGCAGATTTCCGCGCATTCTGAAGTAAAAGCAACCCCCCAAAAAAGAGAAGAAAACCTTGATTGAACGTTCGTAAAGACTGAAAGTGAGAGAATAAATTACAAGTTGTCAGCGGTAGTACTACATGCCAAACCCACCACTCGCGCGAAAGCTATCCCCTCATTACAGGAAATGGAACAGGGATTTTATCACAATCATTTTCCATAAATTTAGCTTTTTTCAGGGAGTCTTTCACATGCTTGAACAATGTTTTGACTTTGAGCCTTGAGAATTCTTTTTCTTGATAATAAAATGCTACAGTAAGTGCCTACAAAATTACAAAGGTTCTTTTTTTCTGTGAAGTGAAGTGAGAACCTTTATCTAACTTCGAATTGCAGATAGCAAACAACTATGCTATATCTTCGAAGATATAAAAAACAAAAATTAAACTAAAAGTAATTAATTAAATCAAATTAAATTAATTGTCGCATGGACCGAGGAGTACAGATTTGTCACTGATGAACCAATGGGCACAATCTTCTCAGTTTTTAGCTTGATAATCTCTACAGACTAACGTTATTGGACCGAACGATCGCCTTCTTCTTCCTGGTGAGCGGGCCACCTGAAGCTCGAGGGAAATTAAAGAGACCTTTGACTTCCTGTCGTGTAAATTACCGGAAGATTACGTTATGTTCATCTTTCTCTAAGCTTATAAAATATATCCAGGAAAAAAATTATGGAAATAATCATGATGAAGTCGCTGTTCTTTTTCCTGAAGAACCTGAAACAATCCAGATTACATATTAACCATGCATGGGGAGTTTTATTCCAGTTACGAGTTGCGCTTTGCGTGTGGATAATGAGTAGTTTGAAAGGTGGAATTATAAGATTATTATTTCATTGAATCTTTTACAGTATTTCGAACTTTTTATGATTTTTTCTTGATGAAGACATGGAAGGAAACATTGACTGACTCGATTGCACTGCGGCGGTGATAAGTCTCTCGTTATCATATCTTATGCAAATTTTCTGACAGTTTCCTAACAGTTTTCAGATGATTCAAAATATCTCAGATTCGAAATATCTCTGTTCCTGTCACCCGGAAATGACAACTGCCCGAACTGCTCTTTGTAAGGAGAGGCAATGTGTCGTACAAACTCATGCATCGGGCGGTGTGCGCACTCCGATTGCATCGCATTGTGGTAGTTTTATTTTCAATATGGTGGTAAAAGCGGTAGAAATGGGTAGAGTTTGACTGAAAATTCCGTAAAAGTTAGGCCTTTTCTTTTTCCTTTCACTATAGCTAAATATGATTTAATATATTCTGAACGTGTAGAAGTATTTTTCGTGCGTATTTGTCGCATATTATATCGTTCTCACGGACAAACGCAAGCACTGTCTTTTAACATGTAATTTGAGACCGGTTCTCGAGCTGGTCAAATTCGTCGTACGTTGTAGTTTGAAGCCTTTCAAAGATTTGTATGACAACTTTTTTCTCAAACGCGCTCCAATGGGGGCGGGAATGTGAGAGACCCTGGGAACGAGGTTTCATTTATCAATCGTGTTGTAAATCTACTTTTCTAAGTGAAGGAAAATTATATAATCGCGAGTGTTGTGTGATAAATCTCCTCTTTCAAGGAAAAGACCACCATAAAGAGTTTCAAAGCTGATGTTTCGTGCGTTAGCCCTTTGTCAGAGCAGAGGACGAATTCTAGGACTACCAGTGTCGATTGTGTCAGTTGTGTAATAAATGAAAAACGATGCTTTTTTTTAGGTCGACAATGAAATGTAAAAAGATGTTCCTTTTTTTGTCTCGTCAAAGGCGTGGAACAAAGAAAACATTTCCCAGTCGACAAGAAGAATCGAACCTGGGTTCCGTGCTTCAGTATTCTACCGTTGAGCCACAGATTTTCTATAATGAACTAGTCCATGGCTACGTTCGTACAGAACACGTGTCCCACCGACTGCTGGGACGAATCGCTTGCAGCAACCTGGAAAAAAAAAATCTTTCTCTATTTTATTTTTCAAATTTTCCCATGTCTGTTATTCTATTTACAAACACGACGCTTGTGACACTACTGATCATAGAAGTGTGCAAGACCTGTATTATATATGAAATAATTTGGATATATCAACAAAGTTGAAATGGTAAATTGGTCACCGTAACGATTACAAAAGCTGACGTTTCGAGCGTTAGCCCTTCGTCGGAGCGAATAGAGGAATTGTGGGTTGTGTGTGCTTTTAAAGGCCATCTGTATACTGTACAAATCTATAAAAACAAAACAAAAACAAAAACAAAACAAGAACAAAACAAAACGAAATGTCAGCTTTGAAACTCTTTAGGGTGGCCAATTTACGTTATTTTAAACTCGGTTGATAAAACCAAAACTGCCTTGTTACCCCCACCGACGCAGCACCACAGTGTCTTTAGAAACTTACCCCTTTTATTCATTTGCTGATACAGCACTAATGAAAAGAGGGGATAAGGTTCTAAAGAAACTGTGGTGCTGCGTCGGTGGCTGTCTCTACTATTCGCGTTACTTTTCTGAAGATAAAACCCTCAACCACAATTCCGTTGGGGATTAATTGTTAAATATTCCAATACAACTGGCCTGCGACAAGATATCTTTGGAGTCACTGGTTTTGTAGCGAAAGGGCCTAGGGCGAGACTTTCATGTCACGCAACGATCACGCAACACGCAGTGACAACTAAAACCAATAGAAGGAGCTTGCAAATAAGAGGGGAAAGTTTCGGGGAAATCGAATCAATATGACTTCAGTAGCATTGACGAACCGGTGAGATCATTAATTGAATGTTTTTTAATTGTTATGGGGCGTTGTAAAGTGTTCTATGAATTTTGCTTTCGCTTAAGTTGACTGTCGAGACTTTCAGAATCGGAGCATTGGGGCATTCGAATTATTTAATTCCGATCCAGCGCCATCCATTCGAGGAAGTCCTACTTCAATTAAACACTTGTTATCCTTAATAGCGATCTTCACCATGGATGACACAAAGGCTAACCCAACCCTAGTCAAGCCATTTCTTTGCTAAACGCAAAGGTAATCGTAGCATGAAGGTCAACATCGATCACTGTTGCTGTTTTGTGTTGTTACCTTTACTGAAAAGTATTTCAAAATTTTATTTTTATCTTGATTATTTGAGCTTTCTCCTAAGAACGTAAGAGCAGGCCACTTCTTTGCTTAATTTTCCAAGGGCAGGATTGACGAATGGAATAGAATTGGCCCAGTAGGCTAGGGGTGACGTAGAGGGCAGAACTGGAGCTATTCCCCTAGAGTGGGGGTGTTGACAAAGTTGTGTCCAAGGATGATGCACTTGAATATCTCTTTGGAAAGGCTTATTGGGCTGTTGGGACCACCTGCCAAGTGATGTTTACCAAAGAGCAATGTATGCCCCAGTTGAGATCAATCAGACTTTGGTTTGAATGAAAGGGGTAAATTTCTAAAGAAAATGTGGTGCTGTGTCAGTGGGAGTAACAATGTAATTTTGGTATATATCAACTGAGTTGATGCAGTAAATTGGCCACCATAAAGAGTTTCAAAGCTTAGCCCATCATCAGAGCGATTGAAATTTGAACTGAGACTTTGGCTCGAATGTTCTTGACACAGAGACAACAAATCTTTGCAACAAGTTACTGCAGCCAGTTATTGTTCGTCTTATGTGTGGTGAAAGCTTTAGTGAAAAATTTTCTTTCTGTGATTAGTTGTACAAATTCAAACTGGCTAAAATGCTGCCTCAGATTACAGTAACAAAACTTTTCTGTGGAGGAAAAGTTTTATCAAAACTTGCCTTCCCTTATGAGGTAAAAATGTTTCTGCAACTTGTTTCAAAGCAGTACGACTTGGCTCTGCATGTTCAGTGCAGTGTGTTGCAACCTGTCATATTTTGAATGGCCTTTCATGTGTTATTTTCTCAGGGAACTGAAGAACAAAGCAACTGGTGTTGATATTCTGGTTCCTCGTTACGAACACATCCCAGGGCCATTTGGAGGATCAGTTGATTATCACATTATTGTTGTCACACAGTTGTTTTATTTCAAAACACCCGCTAAACACAAGGAGTCTGATATTGTGCAGTTTATGGTAAGTGAACAATAAAATTTACTAGGAAATATTTTCATCAAATGTTATTTAGTACATGCTTTTCCCTTAACATAGCGAGTGGCATTTTACTCATAACTGAGGAATTATTATGATCATGATAGTGTCAAAAAAGTGCACTGTCCATTCAAGTCAAATGGTTGGGTATTTTTTGATATGATCCCTGGATTTAACGTGGCAGTCTTAAGTCAAGCGTTCTGCTCCTAAGATCTTATCAGTGCTTCTCCCTACTACCTGTCTTGCAATTGATATGATGTTAGTTCAGAGAATTTAGTGTTGCATCATCTATAAATCCCCTAATTGATATTTTTCTTTATTCTTGTTACTTTTGTACTTGGTATTGGAATGAGATTTTATGCATTAAAAAAAAACATTTTGGCAATTTTTATTATAGATACCGCAAAAGTATGAATTGTTTGAAGAGTTATGCAATAAATTGACTCAGAAGTTCCCCAGTGTCGTGTTTGACCCTCCACCAAAGAAACCATTTTTAGTCAATGATACAGTGCTCAGTGGACGTCGCCAGTACATGCAAGATGTACTACAACAAATAGCTGGTACTCCTAAACTGGCCTGCAGTTCATTGGTTCTTGAGTTTCTTGGTGCAAAGAGAGGTCACAAAGAGGTGAACAGATTTGAGGACACTCATGGTGTATCAGATAAGGTACCTTGTATGTTTGTATGTGTACTTAATTGACCACTCCTCCAATTGGGATATCTAGGGCCAGTATAAAGGAATTAATAAACAGGGTGTACCTATATTAAAGACACAACTCACAAAGCCCAGCTGAGGAGTTGAACCCAGGGCAAACAAGAACAAATCCAGCAAGTAGCAGACTGAAGGTCACTCTGAGCTGGACCACCAGATTACAAGCCCAGAGCCCTAACCACTCAAGGCCATACAGCATATGATCTTCTACAGTGTAATTATGGTTTTATCAACTGAGTTGATAAATAAATGTAAATTGGGCGTGGTAAGAGTTTCAAGGCTGATGTTTTAATAAGAAGGAAGCCCTTTGTCTTCCACTTTGAGGAAGGGCTAATAATGCTTCAAAACGTCAGCTTTGAAACTCTTTACGGTGGCCAATTTACATTTTTTTTAGTTGATAAAACCATAATTACTTTGTTACTCACACTGAGGCAGGCTGCACCGCTGTGACAGTTTCTTTAGAGACTTGCTCCCTTCTATAGTGTAAGCTAGCCAGTGCCAAGTGCCATCTTGTTCCATGGATGCATGCCAAAAAGCAGGCTCTCAAGAGATGACTGAGGTCAGACAGTTGTTAGACTTGTCTGACGACTACCTTTTTTGCTCACACACCCTTTCACTTTTCTTAATTTAATGAGGGCCTGGGAAAGACCAAGTGTAGACCATCAAGATGTTCTCAATATTGCATAAGTTATAATTGCCTCCAGTTTTTATACACTTTGGTTCTAATTTCCCTATTTTTTACCAAATGGAACATAACAGAAGAGGTATTCATTGGTTTTACCCTTGATACCCTGACATCAATCAGTACAGTCGAACCTTGATTATATTTAACAATTATTCACCNGGGGGGGGGGTGTGCACCCCCCTGCACCCTCCCCCCAGATCTGCCCCTGACCTTCATGTGTGATTCAGGGGTGATATTGTAAGGAGAAATTAGATGTTAGTCACTCTTGGGGGTCCAGCTGAAAAGGCCTTCTACAGGTGACTGCTGGTGATGGACCAATTATCGCTAATTAGGTTGAATAAAATCAAAACATTGACAGGATTTTTTTTAATTACTACAATGCATACCTACACAGGATGAAGACACTTCTACAGGAAAGAGAAATACTCAAGAAGAAATAGCCGACGATGTTGACTTGTTTGCTGGCGCTGATGGAAAAGATGGCCAAACTGATGATAGGGACGAAGAAGAAGAGGAATTGTTTTCTGCTGCCAAATCATCTGCTCCTCTTTCAAGCTCGAGAGTGAAAGGCTTCTCGATATTTAGCACTGATGATAAAGATGATGCGAATGATGAAGATATTAACACTCTGTTTGTACCAGCGGGCGCTGAAGAGAGAAATACAGTCAATCTCGAGATAGAAGACAATTCTGAACTTCTGAAGTGAGTTTCAGCCATTAGTTGTCTTGTCTTACTTATTGGTGTTGATGTTGATGGGTTTTTTTTCTTTGCGGCTAATCTATATTAAAACTATCCTAACAGCTTGTGAACCATTGTTGCAGATCATAGGAATCTAAAAAAGGGCAGTGTACTTTTTACCACAATTTGCAGTACTGTCGCAATTTGATTGGCCAATTTGCTGTTCAGACAGTGCTGCTCGCGTCAACATGTCACGCAACGCGTCACGCACTGAAAGAATCGTCGGCATCGAAAAAAACAAACAAACAAACAAACAAACAAACAAAAATGACATTACGAAATATTCAACCAGTTTATTATGCAAAACCAAAAACCATGTGATCACACTCACTTTTCGGATAATTTGACGTAATCATGCGCGGGCTGAGGCATTGTGCGCCCATCAAATGTTGTCGCACTGATTCGGTAGATCTGATTGGTCCGTTTGACCTCATATGTGATTGGCTGTAAGAGGCTAGTAGCGGAGGTCGGTTGCTTTTGGTCAGTTTGATTCGTCGGTAAAATTAGTTCGTTCAGTGCGGTTCGTTTGTTTCATGTAGGTGGAGAACGCGTTTTTATTGTGTATCGTGCCGACAATAACTGGCATCTTTCGAAAAGGGCCTGTTCTTTGTTGGTAACCAGAGTTATATAAAGTCATAAAATTCGTAGTAGTTAATGTTATTGGTTCACTATATTAATGATATTTATTTTAATGTCACTGGCCGCTAAATGGATAATTTTTCAGCTGTTGCAAAACTGTATTTGCTAAAAGTGGCTCAGGATCCGCTGCTCCTTTCAATCTTTCAGAAAATATTATCACCTAAACTATTCTAGAACCTCAGTGGATCTAGTGAGTTGTGTCACTGATCTTTCGATTCTTTCAAAACAGGATCGAAGACGACTTAGATAAGCTCTTGAGTGTCAAGGCAAAACCTGAGAAGCCACCTAAACCATCGAAACCTGTGGCGAAGCCTCGTCTCAAACCGAAACCTAATCTAAAGCCCAAACCGACTCCGAAGCCCAGGTTTGTAGAGGCGGCTGCTGGAGAAAACGAATTATTTGGACCAGAAGATACAGAGGCTACCGAACAGAAGACCAAAGAAGCATCTGCTACAAAAGGAAAAGCTGGAAGCGAAGACTTGTTTGATCGAGCAAGGAAACATTCTTTTAGGTTTGTGGATGAACGCTTCGTGCTTGAGTGTCGTATAACCTAATCCAAAACAATCTCAACAGCTAATCAGAACAAAGGCGCTCATGAACGTGAAACAACGGATAAATCTGAGTTACCCACGAGGAAACTAAAACCACCCCCCCCTCCCCTCTCCGCGCTTCAAAACGCTCCGCCGCTTCTGCACTGAGTTACGGAGAGCTCTTTGGTGAACTAGTCCATGTGTACTTGCTTATTGCCGTACGTTTTCTTTATGTGGCTCCCCAGAGCACTCGATAATTGTGAAGCCCAACTCCCTGCAAAAACCCTGTCGGGTGACAGTCGGCCGACTGTTAGCCGACTATCGACCAACTGTCGACCTATAGTTTTGAGCACACTTGTTGGCCAACAGCCGGCCCGACAAACGGTAATCTATAGCGCAATAGTAAAGAACTGGAGCGTAGATCCAAAGCTGTGAGGTTCGATTCCCTATAGAGACTCGGAACCCTTTTTCTTCTAGTCCTACTCGCGACTCGAGATAGAATAACAGCTATCGTTACTAATTTCACTTCCGTTTCAAACCTTTTTAGATCGTCATCCCAAGGAGAGGAAACGCTGGACGACATTTTCAAAACAAAGTCACGATCAGTTTTCGAGACAGAGGACGACGATGACTTATTTAAAACAGCTTCGAGAGCCGAAAAGCAAAATGTAGAGGAGATGGGTGTGGACGACATAGCAAACTACATTCAGCAGAACAAGCCCGACTCAAATGCAAAATTAGATTTATTTTAAAAATAGGCACCCAGGAGTTTATGAACAATTTTAAATCTATCAACGCGATCAATAATTGGAACAACATTAATTCTCATGAGATCCCGGTAGAAAATGAGGGATAGGAGAACGCACCTTTCCCAGAGGCGACGAAATTCTCGCGCCGAAGCGCTAATGATAAGGACCTTTCTTGCAGACTAAAAGAGGACACGAGCTCAAAGGTTCCATTGTCGCCGCAACGAATAGGTTCCAGGACCAAACCTCCCGTGAGGAGTGGCTGCTTTAATATTTAGGCTATAGGAACTTTTGTCATAGAAAAGAAAAGCATTTCAGATTTTATAAGATAAAGGAAGGTTCATAAAATAGCTAGAGATAACTAGATTTCTGTCTCGGATCTATACGGAGATTTTTTCAGTCACCCTCAAACAATAAGCGAAATTGTTTGGTTGAACACAAATAAAATATAATTATGCAGTGATTTATTATTTTGCTCACTAGCTTGTTTATATTATCAATCCTTTCAATCTGCGAGTGTGGTCGTTCGTTTCCTCATCAGCATGTTTTTCTTGGTTTCATTATTTACCTTGTCTCTTCATGTTTTTTCCATCAGAGTACGTCACTTTCTTGTGTCACGATACAATTCACCTCCCCCCTCCCAAGGGGCCAGAAAGAATTTAACGTCGGTGATATGGCTCTACATTTCTGACATGTCTCTGATGAACGTTACTGGAGAGTCCGAAACGCATGATGTTTATTCAAAACATTTGAACCGCATGCAAACAAAATTTTGCGTGGTTAAAATACAAGGGACAAAACGTTGTCCATTCGTGACAAGGCTGCTGTCAACTGAGCATGGAGTCAGTGACCGTCGGTGTCAGTCCAACGATAATGAAGCCAGCGGTTTCTTTCATTCGAAAAGGACGCCATTTAATTAAAGCCATCATGCCGGATAGATCAGGAGAGAAATCAAGGAACAGATCGAGAGAGCGATCAAAAGAGAGACCTCGAGAATCTTCTGATCGTAAAAGGATTTCCTCTGCAGTTGTCGTGTCGAAATCTTTCCAAAAAGCTCATGATAAAAGGTAAGTGTGATGCGTTAAGATCATGCCAAATGAAAGCGTCATGTTGTTTTGAACAGACTGCGGTCACAGGCGCGCTCATTTGATCCTTATCTGCAAGAATACTACTCGCCTTTTCTTTGGAATCCTTTGAAATATTTCAATTTACAGTTAAGCTTACAGTTAAGCTCAGAACGAGACTTAATCCGTGGAAATATTAGCGAAAAAATCGAAGACAATAACTTTTGTCAGCAAAGATCCCGCGGTCGTTTCGAACATGTTACAGGGATTTTTGTGATCACCATTTGTAGAGATCCTATCAAAGAGAGAAGAGGCTACAGACAGAGATCTCCAGATAATGACCGTGAATCTGACAGAGGAGGACAGAGACTCCGTATGGACCGCGATGAGAATAGAAGAGAACATAGAAAACAGAACATAAGCGAGCGACTTGGGCAACGACCTAGAAAAACTGATTCCCAAGGCGAACGGGAAGACAACGAGGATCCCAGCGCAACTAGATGGAAACAGAGAAATGAGCGTTATTGTGAGTACACTTTCCGGACACTTGCGTGCATGGAAACTATTTTCTGGTAAACATGCCCTCAGATAGAAGCTTCTAGCATACTAACTATGCTCAGATAGAAGCTTCTAACACAGGCACATGCTTTTGACCCACTGCCCTTAAGCGAATTTTTGTTCCACCCTGGAGAAATCTGATGTGAGTGGTTAACGACTGAGAGGACAGACTAAAAAGTAATCTACCTTTAGAATGAAACAATATTTTCAAGAAGAAAGGTTATAAGAAGAAAGGCAGAAGGAAATGCTGATCTATTTAACACCAAATTCTCATTACTTAAATTTTGAGAAATGTATGGCAGACAGTGTGGAGAGTCACTGTTTAGATCTAGGGATTGACATGGTGAAGGATTCTGGATTTCTTATCACTCTGCATTACGGCTGGATTTGTTTCTTGGTGGCCCTAAGCTGAATTCATTGTTTATGCTGTTCACACTACAAGGGGGGGAGGGGGAGGGGAATTGTTAACGACTTGTTCCTCAAAATAATATGATAAACTATTTTTTGATGTATTTTTTGGAGGTTTCTAAACTACATCATCACATAGTGAAGTTTTGCAATAATCCATTTTAAGACAAGAAAACTATGGTCATGGTAGCCCTCAATTTAGATGTATCTTGTTCAATTTTTCTTCCTAAATGTCTGAAATTACATACCTAGTGTTTTATTGCAGCTCAACAAGGTAGAGGTGCAGCTTCAAATCCAAACAGACGCACAGTGTTTGACCGCCTAGACTCAGGCCCACCTCGAGATAGAATGTCCAACAGAACTCAGCAAGGTGGAGGGTCCTGGGACCAGAGGATGGTTGAAGTTGATGTCAATCCACAAGATGTGCCTCGAGGGAAACGTTACTTCATGGTGTGTATATAGTTATATAATGTTTTGGTGAGTAGTATCAATGGGTATACAGGGCTCAACTTTTAACTTTTTAACTTACTAGCCAATTGGCAGGTGACAACTCAGATGTTACAATAATTTCAGTTTGTTTACCAGCCAACCGGCTGGTGGAAATAAAAACCCCTGGCCAAAACTAAATTTCTGCTAGTCTGTGGCTAGTGGACTGCTGTTAAATGTCAAGCCCTGGTAAATTTGAGAGTTGAGCCATATTTCGAGGAGCCTGCAGGGTTAGTCAAAACTACAAACAATGAAGATAAATACTCAGTGATACTATACTATTTTGAATAAACATATACTTTTCTTGAATTATTTATCAGTTTGATGTAGGTTTTAGCAGAAGACAAGAATGTTTCTCTGCTTTCCCTCAACTGAGATTAGAACCTTGAAAAGTAACTAAGCTTCAGAAAACTTGAATCTTTCAAAACAAAAGGTGCAACTGTGGAAAAAACAGTCCAGTGATGGGCAGAAATCATATTAACAGGGTAAAAATGTTCCCCTCAACTATTGCATGATTTACTGAAAATTTTTTCGTGACTTTTGCATATTCTGCAAATTTGTCAGCATGATGATCGTGAATTACCTAGACGGCAGAAATCTGACAGATCGAGAGCTCGTTCAAGGAGTCCATTGTGGGTTCATGATAAGTTTGATGACCTTGAAACAGATGAGGTTAAGGTAAGAACAGGTCTTTCCTACCCTGTATTTCCTGTCATTGTCACTGTTATTTCCTGTCATTGACCCTGTCATTGTTTTGTCCTTTGTGATCTGATGAGTTTCGAGATGATTGATTTCCCCTCTTCCCTGAAATTGCACAAAATACTGGGGGAGGGGGGGGGAACACAAGGCTTTTGTTTGTAAATTTAAATTGTAAATTAAATCGAAAGAGCCATATGGTGGAGATTTATTAATAGAAGATACTGTACTGTTGTGCTGTAATTCAGTAATCCAAGCCCACCCTGTCAAATTTTTCATGTTTCAGGATGATGAAGAAGCAGCTCATGATGATGATGATGATGATGGTGACGATGATACAGAGATGCAAGACATGCAAGTCTCGCATGTGCAGGAAAGGGAGCGGTCCAGGGATGGGCCCAGGCGTAGAGAAAATCAGCGCCGCAACTAGCCTTTCCAGTAGGAAGCCAGTCTCCTTGATATACATGTATTAGTTCCACAAAAGGTTACATAGAACTGTGGGGTCAGTTGAATGACTCCATTTAAGGACTCACCCTTGGTCCTGGAGGGGCTAAACTCCATTCTTAGATACATGTCCCTTTCCACTTTGTGTAAGGGAACAATGAAAACACAGATCGTGCTGCTAGACTCTGTTGTCTGACTTGCAAAACTTGTGTTGCTCACGCTAATGGCGCTTTCGTAAAAAGCTACACTCCACCAACATCTTTCAGTGATATGACAACTTTCTTCCATTTTAATCATGTTTTGTAACCATCCATCGTATATTTTTGGATGTGAAGCACTTTTAAATTTCTTTGTAGGACGTTTCTTTAAATAATAATAGTCAATATTCAATTCTTAAAAAAATGAAACTTCATTCCACATGTTGTTGTGTAGTTTGTGATTTAGCGGCAAACGTTTTCCTTTACGTGCTTAACTTTAAGATATTTGCATCACCCGGCTGAAAGAAAAACCTTCAAAATGTCCAGGGAAACGCTATTCTGGGCTTTTTGTTCTAACACTAACCGTGTGGCAACCATTTTTGGCTTTGTGAAGGCATTAAATGGACACCCCAACGGGAAACAAATTAGGATCGACTCAGATCGAACATGACCGTCTGAGTTCTTTTATAATGGCTTTCAATCTATTGCCAGAGAAGCATTTTCGCATCGGAAGTTACAATAGGTCAAAACCAAGTCCCTATAACTAATTTTATCTTTACTCTTTTGACTTTTGGCCGATTCTTTTCCATCAAATGGAGATCTCCCTTTTTATAGCGGAAGGTGGTCTACAAAACGAACACTAATGGCGGGGTTACAAAGTTACTCATTTGGTTTAAGGGCGCGAGAAGTAAGTTTAGCGGGGCCAGGTAATCCTGCCAATTACGAAAACGAAGCACGATACAAAGGCGTAGCTGAAAGGGGGGGATTCTGGGGGTGCCCGTGACCCTCCCCCCTATCATAACCCTTTTATTTTAGTTAAACACGGCATGGAGGTCGACACGACAATCTAGNAAAATAAAATATTAACAATTGGTTCATGCTTTAGCGTGCACTATCGAGTTATGGAGCACGCGGGAAGTTTGGAGAGCACGAAAGAAGCGTAAGAGTTGCCCGAGGCGATAGCCGAGGGAAACTCTAGCTTCTTGAGTGCTCTCCAAACTTCCCACGTGCTCCATAACTCGATAGTGCACAGCTGAAAGCATGAACCAATTGTTTTAGAACATAGCCGGTGGAATTGTGCATCAAATCCGACGCGAAAAACGGACAACAATATCAGTTGAAGCGAATCGTGACGGCGCTGTTTCCGAGTCTCCTTTTCCTTTGTTTTTCTCTCTTTCTGCCTCATTTAAGAGCTCTAGCCCAAGGGAAAAGGTCGAAACATTGTCTTCGTTTTCGGACTAGTAGGCCGAGTTTCTGTTTGTATCCATTATTGTCGCGAAATATATTATTTTTCCCCGCGCTAACAATGGCCGCACGCGCGAAAAAAAAGTTCTGGCGAAGTCGGATTTGCTGACGCTATCAGCGTGCACTATCGGGATTTTGAGCACGCTCACGTATAATGAATTTAATTGCGCGACTCTGCTAGCTATGTTCTAAAGTAAAGTAACAGTCAACGCAAAATCTACCAAACCGCTCAAATTCGCCATTTAGAACCACAGAAACGACAATACAGAGCAAGTGAGGTAGGTTTACATTTATTTTGGGCCTTAACATAGACATTCCTTGATATAAGTTTGCGATATTACGACTCTTCAATATTCTCCCATACATTTCTTTATATTTCGAACAAACGACCAGACACGCCGCTTGTGTGGGCTCCCTGTGAACAGACGACGGTTACAGGTCGTACAAGCAACAGACCGCAACTTCGTTCCCAGGGTCTCTCGTCTTCCCGCCCCCCTGGAGCGAGAGAAGAGAAACCCTAGTTTGGCTGGTCATGTGTTCACGGAGCAAAAAAATATCTTTTTTTTTTTTTCTTGCCTCATTTCATTTCCTTTCTCTTTACATTTTTCTCTCTTCTCTCGCTCCCAGGGGCGGGAAGACTCCTCATGGGGACTAGTTTTTCTTTGCCCACGCTCGTGACAAGACGAACGACAACTTTCTCTAAACCCTTTCTGTTTTTGCTTCGAATCAGAACAAGAAACTCATTATTCATCGAGAAGCTGGACTCATTTTCACATTTGTCACAATTTAACCTGAACTCCACAATTTCAATCCGCGTTCTCGGAAAATGCAAAAGAACCGTGTGAGTACAGGGCCGGACGGCTTTTTCCGGCCCTGCTGCTCCCACCAACCCGTCCGGCGTTGCACACATCAGCTTTCACTAATAGTTTTCTATGGAATTGCGCGCGCATGGGCCTTACAGTCATCTTATAAAATGTACTTTTCTTCAGAATGTTTTAATTAGCAATCACCTGTATTTTAAATCTTGAAATACATTTTGGGGAAGACAGTTCTTCATTTTTCAAGTCTGAAGACGAATAAATTATTGAATAAATGAACGTGAAAAAGAAAGTAAAAGAAACTCAAAAACAAAATCGTACACAAAAGAGAAAAACAAAATACATATTTCTGACCTGATGGCTTGATGACGTAACAAATCATCAGTTCCTAAAAGACAAGCGCAAATACATGAGCGTTCTGGGAAAAATTGCAACATTTGACTACTTTTTAATCCCTTCACTCCAAAGATTTGACTTTTGACCAGAAAAGGCTTCATCTTTGGACATTATGTGACTCCAAAGTAAACAATGAGAGCGTGCGCGGGCAAAAATTCAAGCTACCTAACAAAATATTCAGCACCGCGTTTATCATCCTCGGAGACCCAGGGGCTGAGTGGATTTCAAGTTAGGGCATGAAGAGCCCCTGGGGACATTTTCTTACAAGACTAGTTCCAAACGGTCGCAGTCGTTCTGCCATCTGATTGGTGCCAGAAAATCTTTGTGTTTTTCTGCCCAATCAGAGTGAAGTGTGCTTTAGAGTCCTTTCGTGTGTTTTAACACGGACATACACTAGTAGCTCAGTTGCTCACTATGTTTGTTTGGACCGTGCG